TCGACAACGTGCTAATAGATAAGTACTCAAGTATACAATAGTACAGCGCAACTGCATGCGCAGTAAATCGACGCGTCGTCGTGTGTGTGTGTGTGTGTGTGTGTGTGTGTGTGTGTGTGTGTGTGTGTGTGTGTGTGTGTGTGTGTGTGTGTGTGTGTGTGTGTGTGTGTGTGTGTGTGTGTGTGTGTGTGTGTGTGTGTGTGTGTGTGTGTGTGTGTGTGTGTGTGAGTATGTGACTCGCTTATAACTTTTGAACGACTCAACCGATCGGAACGAACTAAACGGCGTTTCAAAGAGTTTCCTTAAACTTAGATTTCCTGAGAATTTGAACCCATTCGGACCGATAGATTTTAAGAAATCTTGAAAAATCTCAAAAAAAAATAAGAAAAAAATCATTTTTGAAAGTGGTTTTTTTGGAATATCTTTTAAACGGCTCTATCGATCAACTTCAAAAACTAATCCGCCCTTAAGCTTGAAAAACCACGCCGATCGTCGCTTATCCGGTCAAAATCGGTTGATTCGTTCGAGAAATATCGTGAACGAAAGAAAACCGAAAAAAGTGTTTTTTTGGGATTACTCCGAAATTTTTGGTTCGATTAATGAAAACCTGAAAATAACTTATGAGGATGATAAGACTGCGTCGAATGCCGCCAATTGCGTGAAAATCGGTCGATCTATTCAAAAGTTATTGCGGTTTGAAAATTCCAAAAATAGTGTTCTATGAAACTTCTATCAGACTTTTGAGCTGGGAGAGCTCAAATGCATAGAAATATTATTTCTTTGAACTTAGTGAGCTCAAAATATTACATAAATTATATTTTGAGCTCAAAAATGTTTAAAACGTCATAAGTACAATTTTAAGCGCCCAGGAATGGAATTAGCGGGAAGTTGCAGGGATGACCTTTAGGGTGAACCGTTTTTCTAATTTTTTTATTAGAAAAATTGTTATTTTGTTCCTAAAAAAAATTTATTATGAAAGTAAAAAAACATTTCTATTTGGAGCATTGAAAACTAAAATGGAATAAATTTTGGTTTTTTTTCCGATAAATTCGTAAACCACCGAAATGTCAGTCCCCTGGGCTGTCCCAGTCCCAAAATTAAAACTTTAAGATTAAATTTTAAGTTATTTGTCAATAATATATAATTTGGTCCATAATGTTTATAAACTTAATTAGTTAATTAACAATCTTCTTCAATAAATACTACCGAAAATTAATTTGTTTTATTAAATTCATTAAACCAAAGTTTGTCCCAGGCATTTGAGATCAGTCCCCTGCCAGAAGTTCAAAGCCAAAAAAAAAAGTCTAGCGTGTTATTTTACGTTTTGTAAGGTTTTTAAGGATCCAACTAGCCTTAAGTTAATAACCATAGGGCTGTTAGTGCTTTATCTGCATTTTATTTAGTGTTAAAGCACCGTTTGTGCTGGAAATATGTGTCTGGGCCACTTCAAAACTTAGTCCCCTGGCAGCTATTTTTGTTTATAATTTATTTATAAAATTGGATCAATAAGTCGTAATATTATTCTAATTAATGTAAACATTCATTGAGAACTTAAAAAGTTGAATGCATTGGAATAGTTTGCTTGATTTTTCTCAATTTGATAAAAAAAATCAGTCCCCTGGCAGTCAGTCCCCTGTCATGTTAGATGGCAAAAGATACACAAATAAGGTGAAAGTCCCTATTATGAGACATATTTCAAGGTAGGTTAAACATTTGTACTATTTGAAAATGTATTTGAGAGAAAAATACAATTTGAATAGTGTTATACGATTGTTCTATGATTATCAGACTGATATTTAATATTTAAACTCAATTTTAACTAAAAAATAAAGTAAAATAAACAATTTTTGCAAGCAACCTTTGTGACCCCTTTTATGAGACAGTTTTAAGACATATGTCCTTGTTGTCTCATGATAGAGGTCTCTATTTATGAGACAGCTGAAAAATAAACAAAACGATTTTTAAATTATATTTTTATTAATATGAGATCATTTTTTATATAAAATCAGTAATTTAAATGTTTTTAAAACAGCGAATTAAAATTTTCTACGGATTAAACGAATAATTAACACAATATATAAAGTAGTTTATTTTTCTTCTTTCATTCTTTTTTGGAGTTCCTTTACTTTTTCCATTAACTTTTTTTTTTCTTCCAGTAATTGTTTTTTTTTGTTTCTTCTCCTCCTGCTGTTTTTTTAAATTTTGTTTTTCCAATTGTTAAGTATACCATTCTTTCGAAGTCCCAACCGAAGGTAATTTTGATTTACCAGATTTTTCAACTTGGCTCCTTTTCTTTTTAGGCAAATATTCGACAGGTAGAGTAAAAATTTCTTTCAATGGTGTTTTAGGCGAATTATCTAAGATTAAAGATTATAAAATTGTTATAAAATAAATTTTTAATTATAAATTATTTGTTAAACGAAATTTTATATTACCTTGTCTTACAGCTTTTGGTGAAATTTTTTTCTCGCTTGAACTCTGTTTATCGATTGCTTCACAATCATTTTCTTTTAATAAATGTAAATTCTTGTTATCCGAAGGAACTATCGAATTTGTAACGGTTAATTGACAATTATTAACAGTCTCCGACGCATGAGTAGTATCAATCAATGGCTCTTCATTAATGATCTGAACCGGCAGATCGTATACAACTTCAAGCAGTATGATGCAACTTTGGCGCATCCCACTCCTTTGAGGTGGGGGTAGCGTGTGTGTGTTGTTCGCAGTAGAAGTAGTAATAGTAGTAGTAGTAGTAGGGGTAATAGTAGAGACTCTTATTAAATAATAATTATAATGTACATATATACTATATACACACACACACACACACACACACACACACACACACACACACACA